AGGGCATGGGGGAGAGGGAGCCAGGACATGGGCGAGAGGGAGCCAGGACATAGGCGAGAGGGAGCTAGGGCGGGGAGAGGGAGCTAGGGTGTGGGGGAGAGGGAGCCAGGGCATGGAGGAGAGGGAGCCAGCACGGGGAGAGGGAGCCAGAGCATGGGGGAAAGAGAGCCAGGGCGGGGAGAGGGAGCCCAGTGCAGTAGAGAGGAGTCCTTGTGGGGATTGCAAGACCAGGATGGCTAAGCACTTAAGAAGGACTCTAATGTTAAACATGCAAATTTATTTCTTTATTTTTCTACTTTATAAGGACTGTAATGTTGAACTTTTAACTTTTATTACTTTGTACCTAATATTTTGTACCTAGGTATCTTTCCATCTAAGATGGCACTAGGAATGACGACTTTGTACACTTTTCACTGTACTCCTGTATCCCTGTGCTCAATCACATGTGACAATAAATTCTAATCTTAAATTTGATTTCTCCCTGATGTCAGCATGTTTTGATGACGTGCTGTTTTGATAATGTCCTTCCCATGATGTTTTCCCACTTTCTGGCAGTCTTGCTGACTTTTCTATGTTCTTGGCAAGTGAGTACAGATGGATGCTGTGTCGTGTGACTTGGACAAACTGCCAAATAAGGCAAGTGGCAATCCAGTTTAATAATGTAAAGTCTTTTGATCACTTGGCAATATTCAAGCAGGCCCAGGCTTTTCACTCTTTCCTGTCAAGGATTTTGTACTTTAAGCAATGTAAACAAGTCAATGGATCTTATTGACACTTCTGGAATTTCAAATGGCTTTTCTTATATGTATCTAAGAAAGTCTTCTCTTGTCCCCATGGACGAGGTTCAGTCTGAATGACCCTCAGAGTCCATTTTGAACACAGTCCAAGGTTAGAAACTCTGACTTTTAGAACAGTTTTCTAAATGTTTGTAATATTCTGAAAGCATGGACATAACAAGAAATTTAACCCTGTTCCTCTTCATGGATGCCTTCTGACCTGCTGAGTATTTCCAAGATTTTCAGTTCTCTAACAAAAACAGAAGTTGCTGGAAAAGCTCAGCAGGTCTGGCAGCATCTGCGAAGAAAAAATCAGAGTTAACGTTTCGGGTCCGGTGAGCCTTCCTCAGAACTTTTCAGTTCTCTCTCTGCTTTCCTTCAACGTGGATCTGAAGGCAACGTGGAGGCAGAGTTAACGTGTGTCGTGTTCTACTACATTAGTTAAACACACACAATGGTAAAAAGAGACCAACTTGTTTCAATAAAGATTAAAAAATTCAACCCTGAAAAGGTATGACGCAGAGCTCCTCACTGCAATCAACAGACGCACAAACAGCTAACAGCATTAGTCAGCCTTCTACATCACCATGGTAACTAGCTAGGCCCTGAGGCAGTGCCTTGCGAGCTGGTATGCTTCCTTGCTCAGTACATGGGCAGGTCAGACACCACTGCATTACACTGCGTTTGACAGTACAGTGTCTTCCTGATTCACAAGGGAACGCAGACAGGAGCTACCTCTTTACTGTGACTCAGAAGATCATGGCAGACATTTGATCCCACGTTACTGAATTCATTGGGCTAATAATCCCCTCAGCTTCTTCTTCTTCTTCATAGGGGCAACGACCCAGTGGATTCTTTATCCAACCCCTTTGGTGAGGTCTAGGTGTGCCACTCTGTGACAGGGGGCCAGTGGACAGCTAGAGGTGAAAACTGAACTCTGAATCACCAGGTAAGCCTTTAAGAGTTGAAATCCATACTGTCAAAGTGTTGCTGTCAAAGCTTGTACCTTTCACAGGCACTGAGGAACATGCATGTTTTGTGGGACTTCTCAGAGCATTGCACTAAGAAATACGGGCCATTAAAATCTATTGTAAGGGCATCAGGCAGAGTTTATGGATATATAGGGACAGAACAGTCACCTTAAAGTTGTGAATTGTGCAGCAAACAACAGACTCTGGTGTTTGCAATTTGCTCTGTCTTTGTTAGCTCTGTTTACTTTCTTTCCTGAATGCAAAACATTTGAGGAGTGTATATTGAACTGAAGGCTCAAAGGTCTCCACGGCACAGCCTGCACTTCGCAGTGTACACAAAGCAAGATTATCAAGTGCTGACAGCTTCAAGCTCATGGGCAGGCTGTTGGTGCAGTCTCAAATTTGTTATGCAAAGGTCCTGAGATATTGGTCTGTATGGGTCTCCGTGATAAGCACAGAATGCTGTACAGTTTGCTCTCTCAGTGAACATCCATCCAATTACTGAGATCAGAGAGCTCTTCTGGACTGACAAGCACAAAGCAAAATAACTTCTGGAAACTTAAAACATTTCCAAAAATCTTTGAATCTTACAGCAGAGAAGGAGGCTATTCATCCCATCATTCTGGGTCTTGCATCTCAACTCTTTTCCTGCAATTACTGTTCCTCCAGCATTGATTCAATTAGATCATAGAATAGATCATAGAATCCCTACAGTGTGGGAGCAGCCATTCGACCCATTGAGTCCATGCCGACCCTCTGAACAGCATCCCACCCAGACCCACCCAGACCCACCCCCCTACCCTAGCCCTTTGCCCTGCACTTCCCATGGCTCATGCACCTAGCCTGCAGATCCCCACACACTATGGGCTATTTAACATGGCTGATCCACCCAACCTGCACATCTTTGGACTGTGGGAGGGAGCTGGAGCACCCGGAGGAAACCCACACAGACACAGGAGAGTGTGCAAACTCCAGACAGGTAATCACATGAGGGGCTGAATGGCTTTCTGCAACCACAAGTTTGTACGTTCTTACCACTAGTACCAATTCTCTTACTGTTCAATCTGCTTCCATTACCTTTTTAGACAGCGCATTCTAGATATTGTTCATCACCCTCATATGATGTATTATGACACACCCAGGGCAAGTGGGACCCGGCTTTCTGTCTCAGAAATGGGGACACTACCATGACAGCCTTTATCAAATTCTCGATCATTAAAACTCATTGTGTAAAACACTTCTCCTCACCTTCCCCTCATGGCTCTTTTGTTAATTATACACTTTTAAGAATGTGTTTTTTTTTGTAGTGTTATAAAGTGCATGCCAAGAGCATAATTTGACAACATGTCCCTGGGCATCAGTGAGCTCTATCTGCCCTGATCTATATTGTCACTACCTAATGCTACAAAATTGTTTGTGAAATTGCATTTATCAGAGCTTGTTTCCAATCTTCTCAGTGTGATAGATTAAACAGACACCTGGGGAATACAAGAGAGACAGGAGAGAGGTATAGTAGCTGTGCCTCTCCAAGAGTACATGAGGGAAGGCAGGGTCGCTCCAGAGAAACAGGGATCTCTGTCAGAATCTGGGTTGGATTCCTTATTTCCAAGGTTTCTGTCTTACATCTTCTCAAGAGTTTTATGGCAAGACATCTGAGGCAGGAGCCTTCAAGGAAACAGTTAGTGCCAGTGTCGGAGTGCTCCAGACGCTAGGTAAAAGTCCAGCAAAAGTTTTGACTTCTTGGAAAATTCCCACAGACTTGAGCAAGGCAGTGTGAGGGCCAAGTCTTTGCTTGCAGTATTTGAAGTGGTGTGCAATTAGCCTTTAAATCTGGCACCAGACAGCGGAATTCTGGAAGGTTCTGGCAGCAGTGAGCAGTTCTTCAACTGCATAGCAAAGTCACCCAAGGGCCTGGACGTGCAATTAATGAGGTGAATAAAATCACTCAGTTCACACCAAACAGAAGGAGTGAACCTTACCCAACAAAGCACTCTAACAGAAGTTTGCCCTATGTGATCACAGTTCCACAATTGTAGCATTGAATAAAGAACTTCCTCCTGAATTCCACTTTGGAGTGACTTTCTGCGGTTTGTAGCCCCACACATTTTGGTTTGTTCCACAGACAGGATATTCCCTTTCAGCCTACATCTCAGTTCAACATCATCTTGGTAAATTCTCACCCAACTTGCAACAATTTGTTCAGGTTCCCAAATGCAATTAGGAAGATTCTTGGAGATTTGGTCATGTGATGTCCGGATTAATTTGCCAGTCACATTTCCAGCCAAAATTTAACTACTCTGGGGAGTGCCTGAATTAATGGCTATTTGCATAACATATAGAACAAATACATTGATGTTTTTGCCTGTTGGGGAGGGATTATACCTGCTTCTTTTACAAAGTGTAAACCAAGCTACCAATTCTATACTCCAGTTCTGTGCCACTAGTTTAGATACATCGATGGAACTCCATTGCTGGGAGATGGTAAGTTTCTTGAATATCACCTGGCTGTCTGGTAAGAGTTTATACCTGTGGGAAAAATTCAAGAAAATTAATCCCTCCCCACCCCCACCATGTGAGCCTAGTGTAAACACCGATGAAACAAGCCATTAGAATATAGACATAATAAGAGAAAGACCTGGGTATTAAATATTCTCTTTTACACTTCCTTCCATACTTTATTGATAGTTCAATGGACAAAATGCAATCTCCTAAAGAATAATTATTCAAATTATAACAGCTTACAGAATGAAAATCATCAGTTTTACCCACAATGATTGAATAAGTGAGTTTCTATATGGCTAGAAAGTAGCTTTGTAAAATGGAGATAACAGGACATGAAGAGCGTTTTATCTCCAGAGGCTGCAAATGACATTGACCTTGTCAGAGACTCTTGGATGGGCTGATATTGGAGGGACAAGTGAATTGGATCTCACGAGAATAGGAGAGGCACAGGAATTAAAGGAGCTGGAAGTGGGGGGGGGGGGGGGGGTGACACAATATTTAATTTTGATGCAGATAGGGAGGCGTAGTCAATGATTAGGCATGTAGAGTTAGTGCTGTTGGAGTTTGAGGTGAGTGTTAGGAAGGTGTTGCAGATAAAGTGAGAAGGATAGAGCATGAGCCTTGGTAAGGTGTGGGTACGGTTGCAGAGATGGACAGAGAGAAGGTAGTAGCCCTTACCCTGGGCTAGTGGAGAAGGTCATTGATCTTTTTAGTACGGGGCTGGGCCATCCTCCAAATGGCAACCTACAACCAGGCTGCCATCGACTGATATGACGGCTTCCACTGCCTCCCTTGGGAAGAGAAACACTGCCACTGCATCGCCCATCCAGCAAAGACCTCCACGTCCCTGCCACAAAGCAAGGGAGCCGAAAGTAAAGGTCAGGAATGGTGCAGAGCAGCTCCAGACAGGCAGTGCTTGTTTGGCTGCACAGTGGTCTTTAAAAGATGAGGTTGTGAGCAAGGGATGCTAATGAATTGTGGGATATAAGCTGAGCGGCAAGTCATTCTGGGAAAGACACATGACTAGGTGGGACTGGAATCGGATGTGACAGTTGCCAATGGGTAGGGTTCATAGTCATTGAGTCATGCAGCACAGAAATAGAACCTTCAGTCCAACTCGTCCATGCTGACCAAGTTTCCCAAACTAAATCAGTCCTATTTGTCCGCGCTTGGCCCATATACTCTAAGATCCTATGGATTTCTCAGTAATTCCCCTAGAGGTTAGTGACACTATGTGTCACCAAATCTCATTCAAAATTCACAAGGGTTATGTTTGTTCATTTTTGATGACCTGGACTTCAATGTGCCCCAAATACCACTGCTCATGTTCTGGTGGTCCATCTTTTCTTCTTGTGACTATGCTCCCTGGATTTTTGGAAACTGCATCCCAGTATTCACTTATAGGCAGAGATCCAGCTTAATGAGACAAATCTGGTAAGATGCCACGTGTGAATTTTCTAGGCCTTGCACTGGAACTCAGACTTAGTGAAAATATCATAAGAGTCAGCCTATGGTTTCCATTAGAATTCTTGACCATATTATCTCACAGGGGCATGCTTCCCTTGACCTATTGCTCTTAAATAAGTCACTTCTGATCATTCAGCACACATATCTAAGCAGGCACTCCTCACCTAATGCTGGGAGTTTGTTGTGTGAGGGTGTTAGGAAAATAGGGAAAGGAAATACTCCTTTGCTCTTTCTGACTTTTTCACCCTGTGAGAATTAGTTCTTGCTGTAAGCTGCATGAAGAAGCTAGCTTTTTGATGAGTATCTGGTAAGTGATTAAGGTCTATTCTAGTCATAAGTTTTAAAACTGTTCAGGAGGTTAACAGTACTCGTAAGGTTAATAAAATGGAGAGAATGGAAAAATACACATAAATGTACCAAATAATTAAGTAGTTCATTAAAACACATGAAGGGTGCAGGTGCAATTGCCCATTATGAGAGTTTCTGGATGCCCGTATGATCCAGGGCAAACATATTTGGAGTAACTGTTTGCAAAACAAGAAGCTTTGACTCAGAGCTGGAGGCTGAATCACAAACACTGAGAAAAAATCATGGGGGGGATATTGGCCAAAGAAAGAAGGCAGTCGCTTCCCTTAGGATAGGGATTTGGTGACTGGTCAGGGAAATGTAGGTATGACAGTGAGTGAGGTGGGTAAAGGAAACCAGGGGACAAGAAAGCAGGAGCCTCAGACTTTACAATAGAGTTGAGGTTCTTTTAGCTTGTTCGAATGAGTGAGGTCTGCATGATTGCTGAGCGAAGTGATCATAGCACCATGGTCCAGGAAGGTATTCAAATGGGTGTGTAAAAATAATGTAGTGTTGGATGGAGACAGGGCTCAGTTGGCTGGATGGCTGGATGGCTGGTTTGTTAAGCGGTGTGGCGCCAACAGTGTGGATAAGGGTGGCACGGTGGCTCAGTGGTTAACACTGTTGCCTCACAGCTTCAGGGACCCTGGTTTGATTCCACCCT